CTCTGCCTCTCTTCAGCAATTCGAAGGTGTGCCCCAGGGTAGTGTTCTGAGCACTACTCTTTTTTCTGGTTGCCCTCAATGGTCTTCTTTCCTCTCTTCCTTCAGGTGTCTTCTCCGCTCTCTATGTCGATGATCTTACCCTTTGCTGTCAGGGTGATGATTCGCATCTCCTTCAACGCCGGCTTCAACTTGTGATTGATGCCGTGTCGTCTTGGGCCACCGATCATGGCTTCAAGTTCTCTACTACTAAGACTTGTGCCATGACTTTTACTCGGAAACGGGTTGTTCTTCGTCCCACTTTGTCACTTTATGGTCATCCCCTTGAGTACAAAGATTCCGCGAAGCTTTTGGGGTTATTCCTTGACACTCGTTTATCTTGGTCTCCCCATATCTCTTACCTCCGTGTTGAGTGCTCTAAGGCCCTTACCCTCCTTCGGGTATTGTCCCATACTTCTTGGGGAGCGGATAGGCGCGCACTCCTTGCTTTACATTCCTCTGGTTGATACCTGGTTGATAGGGTTCTGGGAGTTCTTCTACTCCCCAAGCCCGGCCCGAGGCCAGACTTGACTTGTGAGAGTTTGGTCCACTAGGCTGTTGCTTGGAGCGGCCCGCAGGCCCACATACCCACCACAGCCCGGTTGGTCTGGCACTCCTTTTAGGAATAAATCTAGTTTCCTCTTGAAGATGTCCACGGTTGTTCCGGCAATATTTCTTATGCTTGCTGGGAGGGTGTTGAACAAGCGTGGACCTCTGATGTTTTAAAGTGTTCTCTGATTGTGCCCATGGCACCTCTGCTCTTCACTGGTTCTATTCTGCATTTTCTCCCATATCGTTCACTCCAGTACGTTGTTATTTTACTGTGTAGATTTGGTACTTGGCCCTCCAGTATCTTCCAGGTGTATATTATTTGATATCTCTCTCGTCTTCTTTCTAGTGAGTACATTTGGAGGGCTTTGAGACGATCCCAATAATTTATTTAGGTGCTTTATCGCGTCTATGCTTGCCGTATATGCTCTCTGTATTCCCGTATATGCTCTCTGTATTCTCTGTATTTCAGCAAGCTCTCCTGTTCTGAAGGGGGAAGTGAGTACTGAGCAGTACTCAAGACGGGACAACACAAGTGACTTGAAGAGTACAACCATTGTGATGGGAACCCTGGATTTGAAAGTTCTCGTAATCCATCCTATCATTTTTCTGGCTGTCGCAATATTTGCTTGGTTATGCTCCCTAAACGTTAGGTCGTCAGACATCATTATTCCCAAATCCTTTACATGCTGTTTTCCTACTATGGGCACATTTGATTGTGTTTTATACCCTGTATTATGTTTAAGGTCCTCATTTTTACCGTACCTGAGTACCTGGAATTTATCACTGTTAAACATCATGTTATTTTCTGATGCCCAGTCGAAAACTTTATTAATATCAGCTTGAAGTTTTTCAATGTCTTCAACCGAGGTAATTTTCATACTGATTTTTGTGTCATCTGCAAAGGATGATGCAGATGGAGGACAGGACCTCTCTCGTCCTGTCTAAACTCGATTATGGTTGCCCTGCTTACTCGTCTGCTTCTCCTTCTACTCTTCGCCGTCTTGATGCTTTGCACTATACTGGGTTGCGCCTCGGTTCTGGTGCCTTTTGTTCGACTCCCGTCCTTGGCTTGTATCTGACACTGGCTTCCTGTCTCTCCAGGACCGCCGTGATCGCTACTGTCTTCGCTATCTTGCGCGGTCCTTACAACATCCTTCCTCTTGCCTCTGTCTTGCTTTAACTTTTACCCCTCCTGCGGTTCCTGCTCCTCTTCACCACCTCCCTCTTTCTGTCCAGTTATCTCGCTTACAGGATTCTCTTTCAGTGGGTATTTCTAATGTTTCTCCTCGTGTTGTTCCTTCTTTGCCCCCGTGGAGAGTCCCCCTTCCACAGTTTTGTACTTCCTTGACCCGCGTCACTAAAGCTTTTACCCCTCCTACGGTTCTAAAACACCTTTTCCTTGAGCACTTTTCTTCACTCCTGCTCCGTTTCTGTCTTCACCAATGGGTCTAAGTCTGCGGAAGGTGTTGGCTACTCTGTTGTTTTTCCTGATCGCACTTATATGTGTCGCTTACCTCCGGAGACTAGCTTCTTCACAGCGGAGCTTTATGCTATTCTCTCTGCTCCTCGTCTCATGCTTTCTTGTTGTCAGTCTTCCTTTGTAGTTGTTGTTGACTCTCGTAGTGCCCTTATGGCTCTCGGGTCCTTCAATCCGGTTCATCCAGTAGTTGTCGAGATTCAGTATTGGCTGTTTCTTGTTCACAGTAAATTTAAGTTGGTTGAGTTTTGTTGGGTTCCCAGCCATATTGGTGTCTTTAAATAAGCGTGCGGATGCTGCCACCAAGGAAGCTGTCCGCTCTTGTCCCATCTCTCATAAAGGTATTCCATATTCCGACTTTTACCTGGTTATCCATTCCTCCATCCTTACCCGTTGGCAGGCTTCTTGGTCGCCTGTTACTAGTAACAAACTGCGTACTCTTAAATGTTGTTTCCTCGTGGCCGTCCTCCTACCATTCCTAAACTGCGTTCTCCTACGCCGTTTCCCATCAGCGATGAGAAACGGCTCTGGCGAGGTTGCGTATTGGCCATACTCGCTTAACCCATGGTCACTTGATGGAGCGCTGCCCTGCTCCTTATCGTCCTAATTGCATTGTCCCTATTACAGTCGTGCATGTCCTTCTTGAATGTCCTGACTTCCAGGAAGAGCATGTGTGTCTTGCTTTCCGATCGCCCCTCGCGGTCACCTGTCCCTTGATAGAGGTCTTGGTGACTGATACTTTTGATATCGTTTGCCTTATGCGTTTTTGTTCTCGTATTGGCATCCTTGGTGATATTTAGCGCCCTCTGATTATTCCGCACATTTGATGGTGCTACATAGCCTTCCCGGTTTGGTGCCTTCTTTTGATAATTACTTACTTACTAGCTGATTTAAATATGATGCAAGAGGAGGCAGTTTTTTTAAATTTACATATTTACTAAAAAAAGGAATACAGTACCTACATGTACTATATTGTCGTGTGTGCATTACAACATGGTACAAAGTGTAGGAACACAAGGTTTTCAAAAGTCATTTGTAGTCAGCAATGCATGAGAAAATTCCTTTATTTCTAGGCTGGTGCAGCATATTTGGCGTTCTTGAGGTACAGGCAGGGATCAGATCAAGCATTTGCCCCAAGTTATGAGGCTGATCCCACCAATATGGGTGGATATAACAGCTATCCAGATGCCACAGATCCTGATGGAGGCTATTCTCAGCCTCCATTTGCTGGCCAGCCACCCCAACCTCAGTCAGGTAATGAGGATTTTCTTTCTGACAATATTGCCTACCAATCATAGGCTTAGTTTTAAGGGTCTGGTTAATGTCAATGTGATTAAAAGATGTGTAGTGGGAAACTTGACTACTCCACATTTAAAAAATAATTTAAATGTAATAATTGTAACTTGCCATGGTGTCTTTAATAGTACTTTTCTTACTATACATCTTATGGTTTTCTATATGATACAGTACAGTACTTGTCATTTTTGCTATCATATGTGTACAGTATTGATTTACAATCTTTGCAAGACATCCTAGATGATGCAAGCTTACTGCATTTTTTAGTTTATTACTGCTAGTAGCTTACTTTTACTACAGTACTTCAATTCTGGCATACAGGTATGCAGCAGGCACCACCCTATTAGACTGCAAGTGGGTGTCTTAAGGCTCAGCTAGTTGGTCAACTTCACTAGTCAGCACTGCTCAGCTGGATAGCACCAACACTCCTGCCGCCAGTAGCCACCAAGTATTGCCCTGATATTTGCCAGCTTTCCCTGGGGGCTGGGCCATTCAGGAAGTGTCACTAGTCAGGGGAGGACACAGTCCCTGTGCAGTGTTAAGCTGAGATTGTAGGATAAATAGGAACAATATTACCAAAGGTGAGGCTTAGGTAAGAGAAGAAGTTTTGTTAACTTGAGAACTCGCCTTGCTCATCTTTAGCGCAATTTTTAGAGAAAGGTCTCTTATTAATATGGGAAAACTTGTGAAGGTAAACTCTTGTTCTGTTAGAAGTGTTGTTGGTCGAGTAGTATGTTGACTTTCTAAGTAATTTTTGTTAATTTTAGCCTTAACAATTATTTAATTTCGACACTTGGGATGGGTACATTTAATGAGCATTGTAGCAGCCCTAGAGGTGTGCATCTATTTAATGCAAAGAGGAGGCTTTACAAAAGTGTGTGTTTACTTGATCATCAAACAAAAAAGTTGCATACAGTTGTGGTAGTGTGTGTAGCAGTGTTAACTCCTTAGTACATATTCCTATCAGCACTACTATGGTACATTAGTACAGTATACTGTACTTAGGTTATTCTCTGCTTTCTTGACCAACTCACTTATCACTAACATCAGTATACTGTGCTTTGGTTATTCACTGCTTTCTTGCTGAATTAAATTATCATCAAATTTGGTTCCTTATATTGTCTTTCATGTAACTTAAGTTGGGAATTCAAATTCCTTTATAAATATTTGATTTCAACTTTGTTTTGAGCATCACTGAACCCTCAAATTCTAACACAAGGCAGAGAGAGAGAGAATGCAGGTGATTATACAGGAGGAAGGTAGGTTACAAAAACATTAAACACGAATGTCCCTACAAAGGCAGACAAACCTTCAGAGAAATTGCAGAAATAGAGCTCACTCATTCTAGAATTAGAATTACAAAAAAAAAAACAGCCATCAAAGAGAGTCACAAAATAGTAAAATACGTGTGCAAAGAACAAATCAAAAGCCTCTGGGAGTAGAGGCCCCATAATTACAAGATGAGATACTGTACACTGAGGACAATAAGTGAGCAAAATACTGAAGGAACAATATGAATGTTTATCATAGCAATGGCCTAAAGGAAAGTGGAAGATTATAACTACATAAACTCTGCCAATGCAAAAAGATGGATGTTAGATATCACAATAAACCCCACAGCCTTCAAAAAAAAAAAAAAATGACAACATACATGACTCCTGGGCTAGATTCCTGGAATTTTTGTTATAAAGTGCAAAGTACCATTAGCAAGGGCAGTGTAAAACCCGGAGGAAATGTCTAAAGGTACGCGACAGGTGTAGACTTAAAATCTGCTGCAGTTTTTGTTCCACCTAAAATGGGAAGTAGTTAAAAATTGGCAAAAAAAAATATAATAAAAACTTAAGTGGAAAAGAATGAGTTATGCAATCTTGGTAAACAAGACTTTTGGCAGGAAGATCTTTGTATTTTGCAACGATTTGATTGCCGACAAAATTATCAGGATTACAATATACACAAACCAAAATATATATACAGTACTGTCTTGTATACACAGATTTTGCAGATTTTAAATTTCCAAACGAACAATTATAAAATGGCAGTTAACCAAACGAAAGTCGGCTCGAGTATGGTGTGACACTAAATTCCAGTGTACAGTTATCGTATTGTTGCTCTTCCTCAGATGATAGGAATACAAGCCACAGTCTTGTCATCCTTTGCTAACAATACCAAAATTAGAATGAACATTATCTTGGGAAAGATGCAGAAAAATTACAATTTGGTATTAACAAGGTCTTCCAATGGGCAACAGAAAATAATTACTTTCAACTGTGATAAATTCCAATTACACTTCAGTACTTAAAAGGTGTAAAAGATACAAGACACCATTATCTTTGTAGAAACAAGTTTGGTGAGATTGCAGATCTGGAAAGTGTTCATGCATTATATCGATGAAGCATTTAAACTACTGGAATGAACTCGAAGCACTCAAACTATACTCCTTTGAATGAAGGTGGGCGGTATATCTAGTAATATACATGCAGAAAAAACTGGGAGGTTAAGCTCCAAACCTACATAATAAAATTATAATGTGCTTGAGAGATTTGGTAGGACGTATAAAATGACCAGTGAAAAGTTGGAGTTCCATAAGCATAATTAGAGAATAGAATAGAAACATAGGAGATGTATGACTCTTTGGTGTCTTGTCAAAACAAATATAAGAAATGCCACTGGAACAGTGGAAGCTATCAAGAGAGAACTAGACAAGTTTCTGCTGGAGTTGCCAGATCAGCCTGGCTCTGATTGCTATATGGTCTTTTAGGCTATGAAGACAAATGGCCTCACATTCCAGTTCATCACCAGGGAAGTGTGACCACAGGCCAGGCTGAGGGAGTAGAAGAAATCTTGAAATTGTGAACTGGTAATTAAGAGAATTGTAATATTTTATTTTTTTTATAACTTTTGAAAAAGTAGTTTTATTTAATCAATGATGATAATGTAAAGTAATTGTCACACTATCAGAAGATCGGCATTATTAAATAATGATCTTTTAAAAATAAATTCGTAAATTGCATTTTAATCGTGGAGAGTATTGTGGTCAGTACAGGTATATGAATAAAATAAACTTCGTGTATGTTTAGGTGGGTAATGTTATGTTTGTTACACACGTCATGAATCTCTTTATCTTTTTCCCTTACTCATGTGCCAATAACCTGCAATAATAAACTAAAGTCTTCAATACATAAGGAGTGAAACACGATTTCGATTCAAATAATTACTGTACGGGCATTTTAAAATTAAGTCCTGTGTACTCTATAATGGAAGTGTGCGCTGTTTTAAATAGCCATGGATATTGTATAGTTTGGGTTGCCGTCATTATTTACGTGTTTGAATATCAAGGCAAGTTGTTTTGATTATGCACAATGATTTATGTTTTTCTTTTAGAGAATTATGATATTCATAATCTACTTACACATAGTATTTAATTTTATGACATGTTTGTTTAAAATTTTACATACAGATCTAGCCAGCAACATGACCTTTTTATCTTTATATTTTTGTAAGAAATGAGTATACAGTTTCAAGATAAAGCCAAGATTTTCCTACTTGGACTGTGTCAATTGGTTAACCCTTAAGTGTCTTGACATCATAGAAAATTAATGATTTGTTTATAATTCTCATGTTTGTTTAGTGTGTGTAAAATATGGTTTTTACATTGGGTTCTTTAATTGTTGAAAAAATAGAGGTTTGGCAATAAAATATTCAAATATTCCTGTGGTATCAAATTTATTTACACGATATAAGTCTACAGTTGTCACCTTATTAAAAGTGACAAAAAGATTGTACTTTCAGATTATCTGAATTTTAATATTTTATACAGTATTTGTAATCTTGAGAAAATAATCCTAAAATTGTAATAATAGGGGAAACGAGGGACAATTTTATGTCGACATTTAAATTGAAGTATTTATTGTGTTGTATTTTTGCTTTTCTCTACAAAGTTTTTGGCAAATGTCAAAAGCCTCTTTATCCAGTCGAATTATTCAAACATTGGTGCAACGTGGGAAAAATTAATATTGAACGTGGTCGTATGGCAATCCTACAGCGTTAGGTACATTATTGATTGTTCTTAATTATGTGAAGTGAAGGCAGTGTTAATTCCTTAACTTTCATGATGGAATTTAACTTTATATTTTGAAGTATATATTATGTATATAGAATGGTAAAGCAGATTAATATTATTAATGTATTTTCCTTAAAGCAGAAATGTAAAAATGTGGATATATTTATGTATTTTAATCACAAAGCCATTATTTTTGCCATTAAGTGCTAAAATCCTTTACATGCTGTTTCACTATCTCTCATACTTCCACATATCAAAAAGAGCTCTTTATGATCCAAGACTTGGAGTTTATAAAGAGATTACATGCAAGATTGTATTATCAGGGATAATATAAAAAATAAACACTATGGAAAAGGGGGTTTGAACAGATCTGATGACCATGCTAAGATCTATTTTCATATGAACCTCACAAATTTTCCACTGCCTACACCAGTACTAACACATTCTCTGGGAAAACACACTTATGGTGGTACTTGTATTATTGTTGCGTATTATCGAACCACCGCAAGTCTTTGTTATTTTGTTGACAAGGCCATTTTTATTTAAGTTTTTTGATAAATGTTGTACCTATGTGAAAAAAGGCAGAGTAGCCAGGTTCTCTTTATTGTCATAACTAGTTATTGGTGTATAAATGTAAGCAAATTTATTGCATCTTCAGAGTTCGTGAGTGTAGCCTAATGAAATTGCACTTTTGCCTATCTGTAGTTTATTTTACTGATCATTAAAAGCCAATGTAATATTACATTTTTCTAATGGTGAAATTGAAAGTAGACTGCTAGAAGATTGGTTTAAAAACTGTTTATAGCTTTAAAAAATGGGAATACAAGATAATTTAGGAACTATGGAACTACACAAGCGATCTCTGATACTAAGTGTATAGTGAAAATTCAGTGCTGTAGATACTGTTGCCAGGCTAGGTGAGGATGTTTGAAAGCGTTAATGGGTCAGCTTTCAAGGAATATCTGGCAAATGCAAATAGTTTCTAAAATTTTACTTGGGGACCTTAATACTTGCATGTGTAAATAATATATATATATATATATATATAGGTATATATCAAGAACACTTAATTGTGCTTCGTTGACATGAAGTTTCAGCATTCTTTAATGTCAATGACGGTATAGTTCATGAAGGGTCAACATTTGTATGTATATAGAGGCATTCCTTGATGACTGAGTATTCCCATGATTGTTGCTGTTAAGTACTATACATTCCACAGTTGGTTTTTTCCTAATGTTTGTAGTTAACTATTTATTTGTATGTAGTTATTATAATATTTATTCGGTAGGAAAAGTAACGTTACGTTAATTTTGGTTTTGTTCCTTTTAGAGGCCTGTGGTGTGAAGTTAGGTGGATAAATAAAAATGTGGCCACACCCTTGTTATATGTAGTTCTGTCACAGTATACTCTTAATACTTTCATTCATCCTCTTCCGAGTTATTTCTTAGTGAAAGTGTTCTTTAATTAGGAATCAAATTGGATTTGATTAGATTGTACAGATCTTAATGGAAATACATATTACACTGATTTGTGAAGGTGTAGATTCTCTTAAGTTACTGCTCAGTACTGTACATCATTACAGCTCTGGACTTGTGCTGCGAATCAACGAATCTAATTTTTTTATGCTCACAAGACCTGTGCTGTATGGAAAAAAGTACCAGGTACCTTGACTGATACTTCTACTTATCCTAGGCCCTTTATTGTGTTAGTTTTCGGATATTGTGTATGTGAACTTTGATTTGAGTTCATGTGTGTACCTTCATCCATAATGGAATGTATTGTAATGCACACAATAAACCAAAAGTGCTTGACATTTTTTTTTTCCTTGTTATTAAAGATTTGCTCAAGATAATCCATAACTTGTTTTTACTGCTCTTGTTGCAACTATTTTTAAAGAGATACAGTATTGTGGAATCAGCCATGAATCCTGTGTGTTATTGGTGCTGGAGAATTTTATATTTACACACTAAAAAAAAAAATTGATAAAGGCTTGCAGACGATGCCCTATCCCTTGCCAGTCTGTTGTCGTCGTGAGGGGGCTTGGTGGGCGGCTGCCAGGGTGTGATGCTCCATGGGTCAGTCGTCTTTCCTTTTGAAGCAGTATGCTCCTGCCGCAGTCTTCAATTATGCTGGATGCTATTTCCTATTCCGTATGTACTATTCCCCCCACCCCCTTCTTTCTAATCGTCATTTCCCGCCGATCTTTTGCCATTCTTGATTCTTCTTTTGGACATCTTCTGTTTTGACGCCCAGATGTTTGGGGAGGTGTGCACACTCGCTCATAGAACTGTGGTACCCGATGTTTCGAGCAAGGGGATGCTTTTATCGTCAATCCTCTCCTTCGTTGCTGAACCCGATCTCGACAGACTTAACGTTCGTTAAGGTGGCGATTGCAGGGAGTACCTTCACGATGCACCCCTGAGGGGAGGGGGGGGCCTTGTCTTGTTGGGTGTTCTATCCTCTAATTGTGGCTCCATGGTGGGTATGGGGGCTTATTTGTGAATTAAATTATCTTCTCGTTTCTGTGCCGCTGAATGATCCTCTTATAACTTTCCAGACTCGTGGGGTGAGCGACCAAGTCGGACTGTGTTGGAAGACCTGGCTCTGTAGCCCCTGCTACATTGGGCTCAGACCAAGCTCATCTGACCCTCCCGACTACCCCCATATGCTCCCCTTCCATCCCTGTGGTAGGGTTGATCACCCCAGTGGTGACCACCTCATCACATGGAGTGGCTGCTCCTCTCATTGTGACAACTGCATGTTTACCCCTCCCCCCCAACTCTTACTGGGGGTGCTCAGCACCAACCAACCCCCTCAGAAGCACTCGTACTATTCCTTCCAGTGCTAATACGTTCCACGCCTTATTTGGTCCTGCTATGTGGACTAAATACTTTGATCTCGACCATCTGGATTCAGTGGAGTTTTGCTCTGTTCCCAGCCATATTGGTGTGTCCCTAAATGAGCGTGCTGCCGCTGCTGCTAAGGACGTCCCATCTCTTGTAAAGGTATTCCTTATTCCGAATTTTACCCAGTTATTCATTCCTCCATCCTTGCCCGTTAGCAGGGTTGTTGGCCTTCTGTTGCTGGTAACAAACTGCTTGCTCTTATGATCACACAGTTTACCTTCATGGCCTTCCTCATACCACTGTAACCGGCGGTGGGAAACGGCTCTGGCGAGGTTACATATTGGCCATACGTGCTTAACTCTCGGGCACTTAATGGAGTGCCGCCCTGCTCCTTATTGTCCAAACTGCATTGTTCATCTTACGGTCATGCATGTACTTCTTGAATGTCCAGATTTCCAGGACGTGCGTGTGTCTTGCTTCCCGACCGTCCCTCGCGGTCACTTGTCCCTTGATAAAATTCTTAGTGAATCAGATACATTTGATATTGTTTGCCTTGTGTGCTTTTGTTCTCGTATTGGCATCCTTAGTGATATTTAGCGCCCTATGAGTATCCCGCTCATTTGATGGTGCTACATAGCCTTCCCGGCTTGGTGCCTTCATTTGATAATTACTTACTGAATACCCAGTTATCAATTTTAGAAGAAATGACATACTACTTTGAGCTTTATGACTATTTCATGCACTAACAGATGTTAGAAGATATTTTCATTCTACCCAAAGTTTTATCCTACCACCCGGACTGGACAGTAGAGCCACGGTCTGCTGCTTAGAGGTAGGCGTTCAATCCCTGACCATCCAAGTGGTTAGGTACCATTCTTTTCCTGTCTTATCCCAAATCCTTATCTTTATTCGTTCTAAGTGCTATATAGTAATGGCTTAGTGCGTTCTCCTTTCGACAGCACCGCTCCTGTGCCAGGTAAGTCCACTACGGGGTCACCATAGCCCGTGCTACTTGGAACTTGTTGCAAGTAGCTGAATCTATAACATAACAAGCGTTCTCCTGATAATAACTTTACCTACATCTCTGCAAAGTTTCCTAGTTCAGGACTGGCGTCCCATGTATGACCAACCCTCGTGTGAAATAAAGGTGAACTGGTAGCTAGCTCTTGACCTTCACTCTAATCCCCTGTATAGAATAGGGATTATATTTTTATATAATTCACGGGAGACATCTTCCGTCACGCAGGGTGCGGTCGCACCACCTCAGATCTACAGTATTAGCTTTTGATACTGGTAATGGCTCAAAAGGGCCTCCACTTACGGGCTATTCATGCCCGTGCCACCTTTTGGGTGGCTTAATCTTCATCAATCAATCAATCTTTATATAATAAGGTACTATGAAAATTTTTCGGGGCCAAGCAGGGCCCATGAGCTGTAGGCTGTGACATATTTCTCCATGTGCAGTTTGGGGGTCTTTAAGGAGAGCGGAACGGATAGTATCATGTGGGGGTAATATGTGGACACTGGCTGGCACGTTCGCCAGTTTCACTATAACGACGTATAGGTCCATGACAATTGAGAATGGTTTATAGTGAAGGTTGTATGTAATGAAAGATGTTCGTGGTGAAGACGGTGCGTGTATATGATGTCAATGAGGGTTATCTTAAGGTGTCACCCAAGACATTCGGGTTCCGAGGGAGGGTCGGCCCAACTCCTTCACCCTAACATCGCAGGCGCCTCTCCTGTAACTTATATGTTATATGTTGGCACCAATATTTTGTAACCGATGTGAAGCTACTTAGTGTCACTTGGAACTGATTTACGGTTAGTTCTTCCTACCTCAAGCTGTAGGCAACGACGTAAGCGTAAAATATTTTACCTATATAACATTACAAAATAGTAAATATTACAAAATAGTAAATATATGTAATAATCATCAGGTATTTATGAAGTGTGTCACGTCCCTGGTAGAGGTGAGTGTCACCCTTGTTGAGGTGTCACCCTGGTAGAGGTGTCACCCTGGTATAGGTGAGTGTCACCTTGGTAGAGGTGTCACTCTGGTAGAGGTGAGTGTCACTCTGGTAGAGGTGTCACTCTGGTAGAGGTACAAGGTGACCGTCCCCCCTGGTAGAGGTGTCAACACCCCGCCCCCATCCCCCACCCACGGACCCCCCCCCCACATTGCTGGGAGAAAATATTGGGAGTATGACAGGGAGTGACAGAGATATGAGGAGGAGGCGCCCGCGCTGACGGATCACCACCCGTCCCCCGTCCACATATCAGTTAGAAGAGGCACGACTTCTCCTCCACACAAAAAGCGATAATAATACAAGCCATTGTACGAACCTCGGCGACGAGGCAAACATCAACATAATCAATAAAAAACGTGGGAGAAAAAGCGGTCATTCCGGGTGACATTTAGGTGTGGGTGTTAATGAAAGCCTCTGCTAATACCCCTCCCAGGCCTCCTCTACGCTTAGCGCTCAATGACACTGAAAGAGGGAATAATTATGGTGGTTACGTAATTTAATAAACAAAACCGAGTATCATGATTACGGGTTGATAATAGTGAGTATAAAGCTGGAGTTGAGCGGATACCACTGTTGAGACAAGGTTAAGTCATATTCCTTCTCGCACTCCTCTAATACCCCAACGCAAGTACTCTCTCCGACCACATATTATTCTCTAACTAACACGCCCCTCGTTCTACTGAGAGTGACGACCCAATAAAACAATAACCACAAACGAAGTTGGAGGCGAGTTGACTCACAAATGGCAATAAGTTCGGAGTAACGAGGGCGTACGGTAAGGCCAGCCGCCCTTCTTGCCCGGAGTTCTCCTCAACACGCAATTTTCCTATCATGGATCCTAATGGTCCCCGAGCCCGCGTCCGGCTCCCTCGCTCCGACTCTGGCCTCGGCTATGTTCTTTACTATTATTTGCCAGATATTTCAATTTGATCTTCCTTAGCTTATATGTAAAATATATTGATTTAATATTTTATTATGGTATAGTAAAAAAATGTAAAAGTTTAACAAATATAAGATCAATGAACGCTAGATACCGGAGACAAGTATCCGCGTAGAATCATGGGACGCACAAACATCTGCCAATCAAAATTGATACATCAGGCTGTCTCTCTCATCATTGGTTAAATAAGTAAGCGGCGTCACACTCGTCACTGCCATAGTAAACACAGGTTCTCTGGCCAGTTCATTACAAGTTGAATCACCAAAATAAGTGATTTCACGTGCATATATTGAGGATGAAACGAGTGCATGTATTGACCCGTCTGTTGCTCTCAAAGCTCCAGGAGCGTGTCTTTGACCCGCCAATCAAAAGACACGTGAGGGATTGACTGTGTTGTGATTGGCTGGCTGGGTGCGGGCGGGTGCTGGGCCCCACCTCCCGACCACCTGCTGCCCAGATAAGATGAGCTGCCTGATAAGGACGACTGATATGGGTAAGTGCTGTCTATTTGTAGCTTTTTCTCCAGTCCCACACGTCGGGCCGTTTGTCCAAGGTGTTTTCTTATGCCTAATTAAGAGAGGGCGGGTTGTAGGCGCCGGGGTGAGTGATGGTGGGAGTCAGTAGGCATGGCACCCGTGCTGGGAGAGCTCACCTGGTGAGAGTAGAGGCGCCTCTCACACCTCTACTCTCAACATGGTGAGAGTAGAGGCGCCTCTCACACGCCTCTCCTCTACAATAATACATAGCATTGTGACGTTACAAATACCTAACTGTAACGTGCTCGTGTCTGAAGCTAGACACAAATACAACACAATTATTAATGATGGTAACAGTGCATTTCATGTGGTCTCCATCTCATGTTGGCGTCTGAATGCATGGTAGAGCTGATGAATTAGTCAAAGACTCTGCCTTTAATGGAGAAATTGAGTATAATTTTGGATTGTCAGTGAGCAATCTGAGAGCAATAGTACACCAAGAACTCCAACAAAATC